TCATGCGAAACATGAGACGCGTGGACAAAGAGTCAGAGTTTGGTTCTTTGTAATGTGGGACCAATAATATGACCGTTTCATGAAGCTTAAAATGTCCGTTTTGTTGACTTTTCAACTGTTTTATACGTTATAAATTGAGTTATAACCGTTGGAATTATGTATAAAGAATATAAAAAGATCAATACAAACAAAAACAAAAAGCGTTATTGAAGGTTTTCGATGTGCAGCAAAGAAAACGAAAGCAACTGGTGAAAACAAAATATAGAAGAGTGAGTATACGAATTAATGTGAAAATAATAGTATACGAATTGACTTGGTAATTAAAAAATAATTTTGGAAGAACTTGTGCAAACATTTTTCATCAACTTCGAAGATTACATTACCCTTTGTATATATATAACTCACAAAATTCACTTTGTACATTACCGTTGTTTAGCTTACAAAATCTGATGTCTTTTGTTTTTCTTCTTCTATTGAATCGGACTCTTTGACAAAAAACCCACAACAGATGGGTCGATGATACGAGGACACGTTTCTCTCTTCAGACAGAACCAAAGAGTTTCAGATTTCTCAAAATCCCTCTTTTAGCTTTTGCTTCGGTTCGTTTAACCACCCTGTTGAGAAAACTGAACAGCAGCGGTTCTGATCAAGTTAACCAGCTCGTCATCTAGCTCATCGAGCTCACCTGAGTCCCGAAGCTGATGGTAAATAGGAGCTGCATGATCAGCGGCTGCTTCCACCAGTTTCCACATTGAGAAACTTGCAGCTAATTCGATTGTTTTGATCGATAACTCTCTAGCGGATTCCAAGCAAGAAAGAATCACTCGAGCGCAATCGTTTTGAAGATCTTCCATTATCCACCATTCAGTAAGCGAGTATATCTCCACGTAAGCTTGAAGCTCATTCAGCTTTGCCTCGGTGTCCATATTGTTCCATTTGCAACCCGATGGAGGGTTTGGCAATTCATCAGAGTAGAACCAATTCACAAGCTTAGTTAACCCCAGCCAGCTTACAGGGACGTTTAGTCTATCCAAATGGCTGCAAATTTTTCGATCCAATGATTAGATTTTGAGTATTTTATTCCGCAATAAACACTAGCCAGCTTCTAAATACATTTGTCTCTGTCCACATTACAGCAAGACAAACAGCAAAAATAACAATTAATGGTTTGGTCTACAAGAATTAGGAGTGGCGTTTTCATTCGGGTTGAACCGAATAATGGACGGATGCACCAGTGCCCACCCCTAAATAGAAGGTATTAAATTTTGGCTATTTGAAGATCCGAGAACTAAAACAGCCATGAACATACTTTCCACTCTATATGCCAAGGAAAAATTGTGTGAATTAAGAGTAACTGTTACATACCTCTCCTGCATCCCAGACCGGAACAAGGCACGTAGGTATTCACAGCCTGATGAAAGGATAACTCGGTGGGAGTGGGCATGATGAGATGTTGAGGAACACCAACGGCAGTTGAAGCCACCCATGTTTGTTTCTTTAGGTACTAATATAACATCCCTGAAATTACAAGAAAACTGTGATCTATACCTGAGTTTATCTCTGATTGTTTAGCCTCGAAAAGAATGATGAAACTTACGAGAAATGGATGAGTTTAGGAGTGAGTGCAAGGGGTAAATCAATTCTGGGTATTGAAGATCCCCACTTGGGTCTTCTTCTGCAGAGCATCTGCAGCAGAACCTTTGATTTACAGTGCCTCGCCAAAGCTCTCAGGTTCTTCAAAGTCATGCTTTCTACTTCCACATACCCAGAGTAAGCAAATTCCAGTAACTTAACAAGAGCCAAAGTATCCACATTGGCAGACATGCGAACTTCCTGAACGGTTCTTTGAGATTTCTCAGTTGATATAATTGAGCCATTGTGAGCTCCCTCCTCGGGAGGTAGTAACATTGGACACCTGACAGCGAGAATAATTTTGTTTACACTCACACTATTCCCACTAGCAAAAAGGAGTCGCATATCGCTACATTCCTCATCTTCATAAGCTCCCATGAGCCTTTTCCCCAACTTGTGTTGGAAGCCATAGTATCCAAAATAGCTTAGGATGTGTGCAGCATACCACCTTGGACCAGAGCCATAGGTTCCATCTCGGATCTCCTGAAGTGTGGTGCATAACCTATCTTTCACTTTTTCTCTCTTCAGTGAAAGTTCTTCAGCGTTAATCTGTTCTGAGAAAGAATGATTTACCAATTCGGCCAAAGCCAAGAGAGCATACAGAAGAAAAGCATCTTTGTTGTCCCAGTCTTCCGTACATGCCCAGCAACACATCCTCTTCTCAGCGATGCTCTGGGGATAAGGAGCAAAACTTGATGCTCCAATATTTTCCCGATTCCTTTGATACCAACTACAGAAAGATAATAGTATCTCCAAACCCTGGTTTCTTAAAATGAAACTCGCATATTGAGGAATCGATGAATAGCATGCCAAGCCCACCAAGCAGACGGTAGTTTGGAGTACATTTGGCAGTATATAACCTCCAGAAGATGGAATATAACTCAGGAAATTCACAAGGGAATTTAAATTTTGCTCGCCATCTTCTCCTAAGATAAATGACAGGGTAAGCCTGGCCCTCGATGATATGTATTTGGAGGGAGAATATATCATCATTAGCACTGCTCTTGATGCTGACTCGCTTTGGGAGGCGCTGATAATGTCGTTTTGACATATTTGATAGCCTTTTTGAACTGACCTTGAAAAGGTCAAGCTTTAAAAAAAACGAAAGAAAAAAAATCAGAATAGATAAAATTATATCCAAAAAGATGTGGTTGAGGAAAAACAAACAACCAATGTCTTACCATGCACAAGTGACAAGAAAGTTGAGGCGGAGTTCATCTCCACGCAAAATGGAATCGAACTCTTCCTCACAGTGAGCTGCCAAGAATCCAATTATATCCCAAACATATGAGCTCAGACTAGGTAGAAAATTCGCATTCAGTACCTTCTCAGCAACTGAAATTTCTTCTTCCAGAGACGCATAACCATCCAAGGATAGACTACGAAAATTCTCCGCAACAAGACTCAGAAGCGCTTCAGAGATTCGATACTTCCAGAAATAAATATGATGTTTTCCTTCCCAACGCGTAATTAGAGCCAGTTTACAAGCCTCCACAAGCAAAGACATCTGATCGTGTTCAAGCTTTCCTGAGCTTAAGAACCACTTACCCATGGTCCGAACTGTAGCTTTTACTAGGGGCTCAGAACATATGTTTATCATCTTCAAGCACTCTTGGTTGCCTGCCTGAGCAACGGGCAAGGCTTAGAAATCCAAAAAGATAATTGAACTAAATGGTAAAAAGAGTGAAGCACTATTACCGCAAGCCTTTGTGCTAGCTTTAAGGCTTTAATCCGAGCATTTTGGGGGCTTGACTTGTCGTCCATGCAGCTAATAATCATATCTAACATAGGCTTCCCATTATCTAGAAGCTCACTGGCACCATGGCCACAAAGAGCTGAAACAGAGAAACACCCAAGGGACAAGTTAAGGCCAATTTACATGGAAATTTGTAGCTCAGTAGATTACAAAACTCTAGTTTGATAACCATATATACATACCTACAGAAGAGTACAGCTTCAAAGTTGCAACTCTCAAACCCAAATCAGGCTTCTGACTAACACTCTCCAACATAACCATCAACGAAGAATTGTTCCAAACAGAATACCTTGACTGAGGCCACTTCAACATTATTGTACTCAAAACCGAAGCCATCTCCTGGAACCATTCAACCGACATACTCCCCTCTGAAAAGTTCTGAAGAACACCAACGACGGATGCAACAACTTTTGCGTCTTCAAAAACCTTCCACACTTCTTTCTCCTTCGTTTCTCTAACGTTTAAAAGAATCGCGTTCAAAGCAACGGCACAGGGAAGGGAAACTTCCAATTGTTGACAACTTAGCAGAGGTGATAAAGACTCCACAAAGTCCAAAGAATATGATTGCAGGACAGTAGGAGGAACAATACGGATCAACCTAATAACTACATTGGCTGCTAAACCCACCACTGCTCTGTTTTGATACCCTAGAATAAACACCAATGCCCCGGCTATGTCAGAAACTGAATCCTAAGCAGCAG